CTCCTACATATTCTTCCAACAATTTTTCTACAAGTACCAGTAGATGCATTCAGACAAATCAGCCAACAATAAATATATAGAGATAGACCACATTTATAACCATTCAAAGAAATAATAAAAACAGTAATTCCTAACAGTAGAAAAGAAAAAGACCAGAACACATCTTCTCCATCATCCAACATCCAGATAAGCAGGAATTAATACCAGACAAACAACCAAGAATAAATCAATATCCTAATCAAGGAATTACCAATGATAAAATCACTCCACATGAACACCAGTGGTAGTGTAAACAGGGAGCAAACTCCACACTCATGTGCACCTATGATGTTACCTAATCAGATAATGAAATATCTGGAAATGTACAACTAAGTTAGGGAGTGCTAAGAACTTTACAGTTCAACTCTTTTTTTTTTTTTTTGCTTTAATTTATACGCCGCCCTTCTCCAGAGACTCAGGGCGGCTTACAATGCGTTAAGCAATACTTTTGTATATTTATACAAAGTCAGCTTATTGCCCCCACCATCTGGGTCCTCATTTCACCTACCTTTGAAAGGATGGAAGGCTGAGTCAACCTTGAGCCTGGTGTGATTTAAACTTGCAGTAATTGCAAGCAGCAGATGTTAATAACAGTGCTTTAGTCTACTGTACTACAGGCTCTTGTAGTACTCTTAGCTATAAATATTATATTATAAATAACTCTTAGCTATAAATATTCTATGGGAATGTTTTACTATGTGTATCTATCTTAATTTAAACATCATTACATTTAGATCTCTTACTTTTACTTACACTTCCTACTACTTTAACTTGAGTTCACCTACAGGTAGTCCTCAACTGATGAGCACAGTCTGGACCAGAATTTCCATTGCTAATATATACATTATGAATTAGGTAACCCAGCTATCCATAATGTGAATATTTTGACACACAAGTCAAGAAATATTTTTGCCTGAGACACAAAATAGTAAGTATCGTTCTGAATAAGTGGTACCAATCTAGAAAAAATGCTGACCTGAACTATTGTAGATGTCTGGGATCATTTTTGAAAGGGATTTAATTAAAATATTTACATAGTAATAATGAGTGAACTGGTCGCCATCAACAAGATATTATTCATTAGTTGACCACTACAGAGCTATGTAGACATTGCCTAATTGAAGAAGTTAAATAAGAACCAAATAAAAGTGTGTGTTGGGTGGGGGGGAGAGATTATAAATAATTTTTGTTCAGCAGCTTAAGCTAGAGAGGAAAATGCTACAGTATTGATAAGTGCTTACAGTAGCAAATCAGGTCATGTTAAAACCCAAGCATGAAATAAACTGCATTATTAATGGCAATGTCTTTCTCTTGTTCTTTCCCTGCTGTGATGGGTTGGCTTAAAGAAAACCTTATGAAAATAATAGGAAATTGTGACAAATTGCTGTTCAGACCCACAACATTCTCTTTGGAAAACAAGATGGAGTCACAGATTTTCTTCTATGTCATGTCCATCCATCATCAACACAAATTAGAATTTTCAGCACAAACAACCCAGCCAAAGAAAAGTATTTTTAGGTCCTATTAAGAAAGGTTTAAAGCAAATACAGATACAATTTGCAACTATTTAAAGTTCATATCTTAATTAAGTGTGTGCACCTGGGCCTCCCCAGAGCTCCTCTACAAATTTGGAAATCTATCATGTGACTTTATTTATACAGTCCACCCATTTGTATGAAGAAGAGAGATTAGTCAATTTATGAACAGTGGGTGACTTTCCTTCATAATTTTAATGGGAATCTAGTTGTGGACATAATATGCGTAGGCAAATGAGCTTTACTAATCTCTGTCTCTGACAGAAAGCCACTTGAAGAGATTAGAAGCATTTGAAATGTGGATTCACAGGTAGCTGTTACGTATAAATTGGGTTGACAAAATCAGAAATGAAGAGGTGATAAGGCTCCTGGGAAAGACAAGAGAAATCATCACAACCATAAAAAAGCAAAAGTTAGAATATTTTGGACATGTGATGTGACACCCAGAAAAATACGGCATACTTCACTTAATCCTCCAAGGAAAGATTGAAGGCAGAAGTCCAGGCAGAAGAGGTCCAGGCAGAAGAAGAACATTGTGGCTTCAAAATCTAAGGGACTGGTTTGGACAAAACTCCAAACTTCTTTGATAAAAATAGGATCGCCAACATGATCGTCAACATCCGATGATGAATATGGCACAACAAGAAGAAGTATCTCTTATGCTATCTGCAATTTTTGATTCTCAAAAACTCCATGGAAACTGACCTCTATACTTAAAACCTATTAGACTTGGTGGACATTTTTTGTATATTTTAGAAGGCATTATGGTTAACTTCAGTTATTGTGAATTTAAATAAGTCCTGTGAACAGATCTGACCCTACTGATTTTTATTTATCTATTTTTATGAATTTTATTGAAAAAATATTAAATTTGGAGACTGCCCATCTCACTGATAGAGTGACTGATTTTTCCTTTTAGTAGCCAGTAATTTTACCTATTAGTATGTGTGTGTTATTTGGTACAATTTTTTTCTTTTTTCACATTTCTAATTTCTTTCACCATCCAAAGATCACTCTCAGCATTTTGAGCTTAAACAGATTCAATAGTTTATTCCTAATTTACATTTTTGATCACATCTAATCTACATTTGTAAACAGATATTAGTATCCATGCTGTTTTATGGAAGTACGTGGTCTTCCAGTATTTTCTAGTATGTTAGATTTTATACCATTCTTAATATAAAAACAACCCTCATTGACCATCACTGCCCTCCCCTGATTTCTCTATTAAAAAGAGTCAAAAATTTTCCCTACATCTAACAAACTATATCATGTATGCATTGAGACCCTGATTATGCCTGTTTAATTGGTGTTACATGAACATCAGAGTGCATTTGTGAGAATGCTACCTTGCAGGGGTGTCCACAAGGAAGTTAAAAAAAGTCAGGATGGGGGTATGACATCTGCAAAATGTGTAAAAGGGGGGGACAGAACTTCTTAAAATTACATCTGCCATGACTTTATGACCGTCTTCAGTTGATATCCCTGCAACATATGCTGAGAAAGCACAGCATTTATGAAGTTGCTACCTGAATATCCAACCGTTCCTTTTCATCAGCTTACTTGGGTTGTAATATTATGAGAGAGAACAATATTTCTATTCATTTTCCGCACATGCCACACTTAATTTTATGCCCTTCTACTTTTGTTCCTCAGAGAATTGCTGTAACATCTGGATCATTTCCTGTTCACCAAGCCACAACCTTTTAGTGATATTGATGACACATGGATATTAAAGTTCAAAAGGTAAACAGAAGGGATCTAACTATGGAAACATTTGAGAGAAGAAAAACAACAGGGAAAATTATTATCTTCCAGGAAGTCTTCGTTGTAGTTTTATCCCTTATTGAAAAATGTTACATTATAATTATTTTTAAAGGATAATAGCAGAAGCCACTGAGATGCTAACAAGTGTTTTTAGGATTTAGAATCCATGTTTTTTATTCTGAAAATGCTTTTTGCCGAGCATCATGGAAGAAAAAAATACAAAATAAGAGAAAACATAAAGTGTTTCTGAAAGAAAAAGCAGTTGTTAGTAATTGTTCGGGGGGGGGAGACTGTTTATATGCCCAATTATCTCTACTGTTGTGCTTTGTTAAACTTCAGCTAATATCAATCCCCGCATCAAGATTTCTGCTTTATTCAGTAAAATGTGACTTATGAACATCAGTTCAATCTTCTGGGTTTGGAAAAAAATCAACACTCATTCAAGTCATAAATATGATGATAACAATGGTAACCTCATCTTCAAATGTTGAAATTAGGTTTAAGACAGTGGTGAAATCCAAATTTTTTTACTACCGGTTCTGTGGGTGTGGCTTGTGGGGTGCGGTGTGGCTTGGTGGGCGTGGCTTGGTGGGTATGGCAGGGTAAGGATACTGCAAAATCTCCATTCCCTCCCCACTCCTGGGGCCAGCCAGAGGTGGTATTTGCCAGTTGTCTGAACTACTCAAAATTTCCGCTACCAGTTCTCCGAACTGCTCAAAAATTCCGCTACCAGTTCTCCAGAACCTGTCAGAACCTGCTGGATTTCACCCCTGGTTTAAGAACATTTTTATCCTGAAGTAGGGTTTATCCCCTCTTAAAATTTAAACAATCATCCTTAGCCAACAGCAGAGACAAGTTCAGTAGCTTTTAGGGAAGAGTGTTCAGGTTGTTCCTCCTAAACTCCAGATATTCCTTTATACTGAAAAGAAGAAGAGGGGTTCATCTAAATTAGTATACTCATGTGGCATGGTAAAAAAAAACACCATTCCATTAACCGTGCATGGAATATGTTCAGGAACAACTACTTTACCTAAGGGAATAAAACATCTTGCACCAGCTTTACATCAGATGTGAACATAATCCCCATTTATACCAAACGATGAATTTATCCAGTTGGGCTTGGATGAATAATGAACATACAGAAGTAAAGTTGCATATAAACATCAACATTGGAATATATTTCAAAATGAGTCATGTATCTACATCTGTCTTGTTCTACATACTGAAGTTCACTTCCATGCCATGTTCTTCCCTTACTAGGTGGGAACATACATTTTCTCCTTGACCTTGGGAGTTTGTAAAGGATGGGCTGAAAACTGGTATATACTGTATGAATTGCATATTTTGTTAGGCATCATTCAGAGACAGAGAGATATCACTGACATGTGGCAGAGTGTGTGTTACATGTAGGGCAATCTTATTTCAACAATTTTATCCTGGCATTTGAAGAAAAAAAGGCCTTTCTGTGCTTTAGCTGTATAGAGTGTGAAAATGATGCTCCCTTTAAAATGTAAGCAACATTTTTATTTCATGCTGCAAATTCCAGGATACCACAGGGCTGTAAATCAGACTGGCACACACTTCAATACATCCCAGAAGCACATTACTAAAAAAAAAAAAAAAGTTTCTGTCATGCCCATGAAGCCACCAGAAGTCAGGTTTAATTTAACCAAGTTTTTACCTTTATTTTCCTAAAATGTTACACAATGTTCCAAGTTTGAAAGATCAGGCATTTAAAATTAAAATATCAGTTTCATATGAGCAAATTAGATTAGTCTGTACTCTCTGTACCATACAAAATTGCATGTTAAACTGATTCCCAGTCTCTGCTTATGCAGGCCAACTGGGCAGCATTAGCAGCTATCTTAGTTCTCTAAATCCACAGATTTCAAGTATTGTAAAGAAGGGTTGCCTTTTTTTAAAGTGTGCATTGGAAATGACATCACTCTGCATTTTTAATATATGAATTTATACAGCATCACTCTTTTATCTGACACATTCTGAACCACATGGCTTCAGGTTGCTTGCCCAAAAATGTCAATCTAACAGCCAATCATCCCATTTTGGCCACAAAGGTTTCTGTATCTGGCCTCCTATGTGGTACATCACAATGTCTTCACTCAACAGAAATATGAATCTGTTTCATGTTTCCTTTAAACTGAAAGCCATGCACTGTGGTGAACACAAGTAGGTCAATCCATTTTCATATACAATGGCACCAGGACTAAATCCTCACCTAAGGCAAATATAGCTTGTGTGCATGTCTATGTGTGTGGGAAAGATTTTCATCATAATTCAAATTATGACAGTAATTTTTTTTAAAAAAAAAACCTTCCATGGCAAACACAAGCTATAGAATGTGATGGTTCTCATGTCCTACTTTTGGGGTGCCTATTAAGCATCTGGTTTGTAAAGGCAGAAACTGTATTTTGGACTAACTGGGCTTCTGGATTCATACAGAGAATATAATAAACTGCCAAATGTTAGTAGCTGCTGGGAATAGGCGGCCATTTCTCCTAGTCTTCAGCTGCATGCTAAATTCATTATTTTCTATACCTGGAACAGAGGACATTATATTCCATCTCTTCTCCCTTTTTCTGCACACTCTCCTGCATAGAATTGACACCTATGATTATCAGATTAAGATTTACACAAAATGCAATTTAAATTATGTGTAGTGTGTAGCTGTAGGGTCATTTAAAAGTATTTCTTCTCCCGTTAGCAGCATTGTGGTTTTCATACAATTTTCTTCTTTGCTCCAAATGTTCTTTCTCGGTGTGAGCTAAGATGCAGAACAGCATGAGCCTTCTTTGGGGGAATTGACGGTGGAAACTCTCTTCCATTATTTATTAGCTGCAGCTTTCCTTAACCTGCAACCTTTGATATCATGGAACATACTGTCCAATACCCACATACTGAAAGTTCATTTTAGCTTCAGAGAATGGGACTTTTATTTTAAACAGTCAAGTGGATGATACATTTTAAAAAGTGTCTTCTGTTACGTCTTTTCCCCCAAGATGATGAGGATGGTACATATGTGTCTCTCTCAGTTCATCTTTTATTTTTCTGATAATCATTGTGCAAACTTGGAAATTCCCAAGGCAATTGGTAAACTCCATAGTTGAAGAAGGATTTGATTCTGGGTCTACATCTTCACTGTTTTATGGATTAGACAGGAATAGCAAAGAAAGAAGGAGTTAAAGATTTCTTTAACTATAGACTGGTGCAAATAACTGAGATGCTTGAAATGACAGCATTACAAATACACTCTCCATAAATTATGTTGGGCTGATCATATGAAAGCAGGAAAATTAAAAAGTGCAGCAATGGCTTTGGCATCCTTTAAAAACATTACAAATAGTATTTGGGGAACTCTATAGTATTTACAGATGTTCTCTGAATGGTAGCTGAAGGATGCTAATGTATGTCAATCTGCATGTGTATTCCAAGCAAATTTCCATTCAAACATTCACCAAGAACTAATTTCTTTTTCTCTTTCCTCATCTCACAGACACACAAAGAGAGGGAGAGAGGGAGAGGGGGAGAGAGTGGGGGGGAGGGAGAGATCCAAGCATTATAATTCTAATTAATCAACTCTCTCCTACATTTTCATTTAACATCTGTTTTGAAATCTGAAACGATTTGTGCTTTCCACATGGAAAGAACAACAAATGCATAAGTGATAGTGTTTTCTTATTTGGTATAACACTAAAAGTGAATTTGCTCAGTTGCTGTGGAGAGAAGGATCAAATAAGAAAAAAAACTTTAAACTTTAAAGAAAGTTATTTAAAAAATAGGTGATTAAAGACTTCACAATATGAAGTTATTAATCGCACTTAAAGCTCTAAGCACTTAAAATAGTTACTCAAACATTACCACCAGTTTCCTTTTTACTATCCTGGAATTTTGGACATCTTTCTCTTACATTAAGCTTAACCACCAATAGGGACACAAAGCCCTGAGGTTTGTAAGTTGCCCCACCCTTTACTATACATCGTATATGACATGTCTTTTTTAATGAATTTCTGCTACAGAGAATAGCAAACTGTTGACATCATGCAAGGTTTAACTTTCTATTTTTAGTGTATTACAGTGTTAAAACTGAAGCTCCTTCAGGAATAGAAAGTATGATCGTAATTTTTTTAAAAAAAGAACTTCACTGATTATTGACCCAAGCACAAGTTTATATTTTCCTTCCTAACACTCTGCAGTTGCTTAAATTTTGAAGTCCCCCCCCCCAGCATAGTATTAGTTTACTGTATAAGATGAATTTCTTCCAAAGGCAGAAGTTTTTCATCATCTTTCCCTTTTTTCATTTTGCATGACAAATATTCACAATGAGCTGTTTTTACGTTTTCTTTTCTTGTTTCTGAAAAAGACATACTGTTGTCTTTACTGATAACATCCCAGCATCCAGATACTTTTCTTGTGCATAAAAACATTTTAATTTGGGAAGCAGGGATCTCTGAAGGCTCATTGATTTTTCAAAACATAAAATGAGGGAACCCTCATACTTGGATCTTATGCCAAAACAGAAACACTGCCTTAAAAGTTGACAGTTCAGCCTCTTATTTTACTTTTCAATCAAAAGTATTCAACAGTGAGAGAAAGAACTTGCAATCCACTGGAAAGACTCATGCCGGCTCCATTGCCTCCTTTCCCAAATGATCTTCTAATGTGTCTGTCTTTGCTCTCACACATTCCTACCATGCTGTTCACCTTTCCAGTTGCATTACCATCTTCCTTTGGAATTTCCCCCCCTTGTACGCATACAGTGTAGGCTGACACTGTCAATACTCCACCTTCAGATGCCATTCTCCAGTGTATTATCTCTGATTTCTTTTGGCAGAGCAAGCTTCGGTCATTATGGCACAGTGAAATATTCTAGGATGCTATGCAATTCAGACTGAACTAGGTCTGTATAAGGCACGTGTCTTGATACATACATTTATAGATCATGTACATATATAAAAGACTAACACTGGCTCATTAGAGTCAAAGAATGATCTACATTTAATTCCTGTCTTCAAGTAATGATTTATTTTCGTGTTCCCTTTCTTTGGTTTCAGTGGGGAGCATGCCATTCTCCAGGTCCATGTGTTGTTCAATACAATTGGTAAGAATGGCAGTACTGGAGTGTGCCGAGTGACACACCTTCTCCAAGTCGTCATCCTCCTCCTCTTTCTTCACCTCCTCATCCAAGGAGTAGTGCCGTAAGGACTCATAGATTTTCCGCACGTCTTCCGGGATACTTTTTTTCAGGTCTTTGTTTTTCCTTTTGGTCAGCTTGGATGAAGAACCAAACTTGTTGATGATGTTGTCCTCAGATGCCCCCTGCCCATGTTTGCTCAATTGCTCTGATCCTTTAAGGCGCAGATTGTTAGGCTTGTTGTTGATGCTTTCCTGAGATGAAGCCTTGAAATGGCTGTTGCCCAAGGCAGCAAAGACACAACGTTTCTCTGGAGACAGCATATCCAGGGAGTGGGCTCTCTGGTCCAGACCTAAACGCCTGCGTTCCATACTCCGAATGGTGGCTGCCCTCTGAAGTTTGTCATGGATCTCCACACTGAGCCGCCGCCGTGTTTCCCTGAACTCTGCTGTCACGTTGGCTTTCCATTCTGCCGCATGGGCTTTTATTTCACCAACCTGTCATGGAAAGCCAAAAATAACAGAGGAAGATTCAGAATAAATTCAAAAAAATAGTATTAGTTAAACAGATGTTTATAAAAAGGATTATCCCCTGAAATTTAGATGGTCCCACCCCTGTTGACATTTCATGGACCTTTTTCCAGGCACTGGGCCAGCCTGTCAGATGAGCTTCATGTGTGTATTGGTGGAGACTATCATTGTGTTGACTTTGGTTGTATTATATATTCTCTGCTCGTTTTAGTCCTGTTGATTATTTTTCATTTTAATCCTATATGAGTTGCTCGGAGTTGCAAGTGGGCAGTCATCTAAACTGATTAAGTAAATAAGCAAACAAATGTTCCTCCAATTGCAAATGGAATTAATGAACAATTAGTAGGATCAGGCATTCATTTGTTTTCAAAGGCTGAGTATTTTTATTTGTTATTCAGTTTTCCAAATACACACTAATTTCCTATATAATTAACAAATATTTATATATTACATTAATAGCATGTAAAGTAATGGGGAATTAAAAAAAATAAAAATAAAAGCACCTAAATTAAACTAAAAACCTCCTCCTTCACCAACCAAATTGAATTTAATTTTGGGTCTGTGTGTGACTGTGTGTGTATCTATTAATATTCAATATATCTGGACTATGAATATTTAGACTCAAGTTCTAATCTCTTAGTGACAAAAGCTGACTTTGGGCCAGTCACTCTCCCTCAGCTCTAGAGTGGGATGTCAAACATCTAAGTTTGATTTGAGTTCGTACTATTCATTCACACACATAAATACATTTACATACACACAAACAAACATATATTTTTATTAGGATTCAAATAAATATAGGCCATACAGAATTATATTGTTCATCTTGGCTCTCCTTTAATACAAAGCTTGAAAGTCTAAGAACTAACTAATTTTGTAAAGCCAATTTACAAGAATATCAGCATTTTTCCATAAGCATATAATCACTTTTTCACAAGAGTCCATGCTCAATATATGTTAAATTCTTTACACTGAAACCAGTCTAATTTAACAAATATAAACAGTTTTAATCTTTAAGTGACTTAAAAGAACTTGGTTCACCATAATAATAACAACTAGCCAACAAAGAATTGCAAGCACATAACCCATAACAAATGTACTTCAATTTTATTACATCACTAACATAAAAAGGATCAGACCCAATTGTTTTAAGAAGATTCTCTATAGTCTCCAAGAGACTCTAAAGAGAATTTTTGCTGCATTTTAGGTCATAACAAATATATTTAACACTCCTCAAAACCCGAGGCCACAAATATATTTAACACTCCTCAGAACCTGAGGCCATTGATTGGGCAATATAGAGGCATTAAATTCTCTTCTCTAAATTTCTTCTATATTCTTCAAATTTAGTTTTTGATTTTTTTTTTTACATTGGCAATATAAAATCATGGGTTTTGAGTCAACAAAGATAATATGTTACAGACACAATTCTCCTAAAGTTTCAGAGTGTGTAAGGGCATGAGAGTCAAACAATGAATATAACAAGTCTTCTAACTCTTAAGCATTTTCATTCAGCCTTTCTTTGTGAAATATAGTCCTTTTGTAAAATCTCAAAAATTTAAAGATATCATTACTTAATAGCTGATTGAGAGTTATAGCTTCATGATTAGTTGGTTGTTTTTTTTAAAAAAAAAATTAGCAGCTTTTAAAAAGCAAGAATTACTCCAATGTAGCAAATTCTCATGAGATGAAAAAAATATGAACTTCTAATTTAATTGAATTCAATTAGAATTTGTCTACCCAATAAATGACAATTTCTGAGTACAGCTTTTACTATTCAAAATTAGAGGTGACCTTCAGCCCATAATCTTCTTTATAAAGTTTAATAAACAACTAATTATTTTAATGTTGTTTTAAAATTTATTTGGATTATTTTATTTTATTTTTTAAGATATTGGATATTTTTTCACAAATTTGTTATGTGCTGTATTGAGTACTGAAAGAGTAAACTTCAAACCCGAAAGCTGTTATAACATGACACAAAACATCCTGCCTTCTGCCACCAATAGCCTCCCACCGGCCAGTACGCTCGCACAGAGTGGGCCTCCTCAGGGTGCCGTCCGCCAGACAATGCCGGCTGGCGACCTCCAGGGGGAGAGCCTTCTCTGTGACGGCGCCCACCCTCTGGAATAACTTTCCCCCAGAGTTACGTACAATAACAGACCTCCGGATTTTTTGTCGGGCCCTGAAAACCTATTTATTTCAAGTAGCTGGGCTGGCTTGAGTTAAATTTTAAATTGATTTTAAATTGGGTTGTTTTAATTTACGGCCAAATATTTAATTATTTTAATACTGTTTTTAAATTTTGTATGCTCTGTTTTTATCTTGGCTGTGCACCGCCCTGAGTCCTATTTGGAGAAGGGCGGTATAGAAATTTAATAAATAAATAAATAAATAAATAAATAAATAAATAAGCTACTTGTCAATAGTTACCTCCTCTTTAGTCTTCTTTGAAATAACCCGCAGCCAGTCTCCAATCATGCTGAGGACAGCAGCAAAATATGCAAGGCCCACAAGGATCCAGAACCATACCAAGGGTTTGTACCACTCCCGGTAAGGGATTTCTGCATTTCCTCCTAAGATGGTAAGACAACGATGATGACAATGATGATGGCAACAACTACAACCACAAGAAAACATTTAGATGTGTAGATGCAAAACATATCTTAAAAGTGAAACTACACTTTTTCATTTTCATGTTCCCAATCCACATTATTTTCAATATTTGAGCAAGACTCTTGGCTAACTCACCTCAGTATGCATGTTCACAATATGTTCATACCATCCTGACAGCACATAAAGATATTTAGCAAATTGATTTATAATTTGTTTATTGATAAGAGATAAGAAGTGGGGAGAGGAGACATTTCACTGAAATATCAGAGAAGGTGAAAAGTTACGGAAGTTGTTTGCACTTGTCTTGAGGGAAGAGGCAGTCATTTCTTTGTATGTCTTTTTTTCTTTATTTTTTTTCTTTTTCTTTTTAATTCTGTTCTATATTTGTAAATTTAATAAAATTATTACAAAAAAGAAATAATAAATGATTAGAATAAGTTCACTGTTTTAACACTCGTGTTTATGACAAAAGCTTTTTGCTCAAGAATATACAGTATAATCAGATACAAGTTTTCAGCTTTCAATATATTCATGTTATTTATAGCTAAACGTTAAGACTCATTAATCTGCAAAGGAAATTCCACCTTTTTTGTGATAATTTTCATTTTTTTTTTATAGAATACAAGCTAGTTATCAACACAATGTTTTGCAGCATGTGTTCTCTCTAAAGCCATGTCCCCCCAAAAATGCTATTTGCAGTACAGTCCTATGTATGTTTTAAGGACAGTAAGTTTTACTCACTGGAAAGGCGTGCCTTACAGTGTTGCATTTATTCACCAGGGAGGAAAAATGGGCCCAACTGCTAAGGTAAAGGTAAAGGTTCCCCTTGCACATATGTGCTAGTCGTTCCTGACTCTAGGGGGCGGTGTTCATCTCCATTTCAAAGCTGAAGATGTCTCCATGGTCATATGGCCAGCATGACTAAATGCCAAAGGCTCACGGAACGCTGTTACCTTCCCACCAAAGGTGGTCCTTATTTTTCTACTTTACATTTTTACATGCTGTCAAACTGCTAGGTTGGCAGAAGCTGGGACAAGTAACGGGAGCTCACCCCATTACTCACTCCGTTACTCACTAGGGATTTGAACCACTGAACTGCTGACCTTTCGATCAACAAGCTCAGCATCTTAGCCACTGAGCCACTGTGTCCCCTCCGCGCCCAACAGCTACATAAACATAAAAAAATTCCCTTCTCACTCTTATGGGTGGCATATGTCTTCCTAAATTTTGGGTCCTCTACCAGAGGCCTGGGAGTTTGGAGGTTCTGCACAGTATCTTAGCTGCTCCTAGCAATACATTCTTCTGGACAGAGAGTTCTGATGCTGTTCCTGGAGCCTCTCTCCAAGTTCAGATGTCACAGATCCCAAGTGACCTTACTACCCTGGGATCACCTTGGGCCTTTTCACATCATCTCAATTCCTCCTTCAGATACTTCTCCAGCTTCTCATACTTCTTCCTGATGTTGCTGTCACTTAGCACCACTATATCCATTCTACTCTATATCAACTCCAGATTCTTGTCAAGAGAACCTGGAATTTATTTTTATGTGAGTGAGCGAGCGAGCGAGTGAGTGAGTGAGTGAGTGAGTGAGTGTATACTGTTAATGTCTCTTATTTAAATACAGCCAACACAGGGAACTCAATTTTATTGTTATAATGTTGTTTAGTCTTCCATCTTCTACTTCCCTGACCTTCTGCATTTTTACAGTCTGTTAGCAATTTGAAACACTGCAATGAATCTTTTAAGGTGCATTCTAAGTAGCCTGCATATGAGCATGCTTATAATGATTTAAGATTCACATAGAAATCCAAGCATAGAAAGGTTGGCAAAGACTCAAATATTGCTTCTGGTTTCAATTATCTTTCAACAGATGTATTGTTATGGCTTTACAGCTGTCAAGGTATAACAAAGGGCAAGCAGCTGTGCCCTTGTTTTTATGAGCTGATGATGTTCTTCTGATCATGTATCACAGGTCCCAGGGGAGAATCACTAAAGAGTTAACTGTGATCTGTTGCACAGAATAAGCAGACATTATAAAATAAATGCTACTACTTTCCAGCTAAACCAGTGCAATATTTTTGTGTTTGATTGTCATTTTTCTTCCCTGCTGCCCACAAATTAACAGGACAAATTCCTTTCCAAATTGATAAACATAAAGAAGTTTACTCTGGTATAAATTTGCAAATGTCAATGATCTACTGCAGGAGTATATAGCCCAAGGCTCAAAAGCCACATCTAATCCCTGAAAGCTTTAGATGAGATCCTTCAAAATCTACTGTCATAGTATACATAGCAGTTAAGACAATCATACAATCATACAATATTTGCCTGGGGAACAATCAAGATAGCTAATTATTTTAGTTACACTTAAATGTAAATGAAATGAAATCAAATTTAGTTTTTCTACTGCACTCTCCCACTATGCCACCAAGATAGTCAAGTGTTTTTAAAGGAAAGATGGAACTATTCTTCATGATGTTTCTGATCACTATTTTAATCATTAATTTCATCAGTGCTTAAATTATTTTGCCATGGGCCAGTATTATTCTGTATGTCAGACAGCAGAGTAACTTTCACAATTTTCAGATGACCATAAATACATGGGTACCACATTAATTCTATTTCTCCTTCAGAATCCTACAAATGAGATGTTGTGCAGAGTAGGAGATGCAGATTTCTTCCTGGTTATCTAAATAAAAGTGTATAGCATCTTGTTGGGAAAGTAGAAAGGAGTTCCTTCAAAGTCCATAGCTTTAAACAGCAACACTGCAAATGAAAAATAATTCCACTACAGAGCTTGCTTATTTTATGGTTTTCGTAATTGATTGCCTTCACTCCTGTCACAAGCAGTTACCTTGACTCCAGTCACATTTAGCCCAGACATTCACTTAAATTCATTGCCTTGACTGGCCATAGTAGACAAAGAGAAAGGGGAAAGGAAATGCCTATAAATATCTCATGTGGAATCATTCAGGTAATAAGTTGGATCTTCTAAAGCAGATTGTAAAAAGATATATTTGTGAGCAATATAAAAAATGTGATAAATTTGAGAGATCAGCACGGATGTGTCAAGAAACACATTTTGTCAGATCAATCTTTTCTCAGTTTTCGATTGGATTTCTAGAGCAGGACACTCCCTAAATGAGGAGGGGGTTGCTGCGGTCAACTATGAGACTCTGCAGGCATCAAAAGAGACTATCCATAGAAACCACATGAGAGACCTTGTTGGTGCAGCTGGGCCCAAGAGGCCAATGCCTGATAGATCCTGTTAGTTTTCAGAGTTTGGGGACTTTCTCAAGCATCTTGTTTGTGGTTCACTCAAGACTCTAATTACATACTTAATAAAAGGGCATCCAGAATAAAGGTGCTAGATTTGATTGTACAGAAGTGGCATTTGCTGGAAAGTGGCATTCATGGCAGGAAACTGGATTATAAGAAGTAATCAATGCTTCAAAGGGGTGTCTCCTTCCACTGTAAAGGAAGTTGTGGTTTGCTCCTGCTCAAGAAGCCTTCTCCCATTTTATTTTAGACAATTTTACCTGGCTATACTTGTGAATAAGGGATGTGGTGGCTAAGTGGCTAAGTGAGTTTGTCGATCAAAAAGTCGGCAGTTCAGCAGTTCGAATCCCTAATGCTGCAAAACGGGGTTAGCTCCTGTTACTTCTCCTAGCTTCTGCCAGCCTAACAGTTCAAAAGCACGTAAAAAATGCAAGTAGAAAAATAGGGACCCGCTATGGTGGAAAGGTAACAGCGTCCCATGCGCCTTTGGCGTTTAGTCATGCCAGCCACATGACCACGGAGACGTCTTCAGACAGAGCTGGTTCTTCAGCTTTGAAACAGAGATGAGCACTGTCCCCTAGAGTCGGGAACGACTAGCACATATGTGCGAGGGGAACCTTTACCTTTACCTTATACTTGTGGATGACTTATGGAGAGACTAGATCAAAAAAGCACAACTTTCTGGTTTTCTTAATCTCTTAACAGTTTTTAATGCCATTGACCATGGTTGTCTTCTCCAAGAGATCGGAGCAGGGGAATACTGTTCCATCTGCCTAGACACCTCCACTCAATGGAATGCCTCAGGGAGCTTTCTTCTCTTTATTCTTTCTAATTTCAAGATAAGGTACCTGTCAGCCTGAAGTTCAATATAATCAATATGCCGATGATATCCACTTATACATTCTGTTCTCAAGCTGAAAAGTGATAGATGGTAAAAGTACAATCCAATGCTTAGAAGCTGTCAGGGTTTGGACTGAGAGGAATAGGCTCTGACTGGGCTTCTCCAAAACTAAATGGCTTTGGGTTTGTGAACCTAACCATTTCAGGAAAATTTCATCTTTGTTTCTGAACAGAATTGTACTCTCCTGCTCCAAGGCAGCACACAATTTGCAGGCTCTCTAGACTCATAGCTGTGCTTTGCTGAGCAGGTGGCAACTGTGGCTAGAAGGGCTTCTGTTCAAGTACCGTTGCAACCATTCCTAGAGTAGCAACCCTAGATGAATAGTCATTCATGCATTTGTTAACATCCTCTCCTCAAGGGTGTCCCTGAAGATCATTTAGAAGCTTTAGTTGATATAAAATATTGCAGGCCATGCAACTTATTTGGTATTTGTGAGCCAATTTAAATCTGTAGTTACAGAAATGTCTAAATATCTATGTGAACTAATTGTTATTGCTTGAAGATGTAGTTTTTTGCTCACTGGGGACAATTACAAATCAACAGAATAAAGAACATTCTTACAAAGCCTGCACAACTATGGGTTCTGATTGTGGCCTGTGATCATTTACTGCTCCCAAGCAATGTGCCAGAGATTTGGAAGCCCAACTAGATCAATCTGCCCAACCCAGGAATGTATTCCCGAATAATCAAATCAGGTTTCAAGCCAACAAGATATTTTAAATCAAACAACTGTCTCTAAACTACAAAGAGAACTAACATTAGCATGTTTTATTATCCTCACAACAGCTATTCTCAAAGGAAAATATAAAAAAAATCTCTGTCAAGTTAAAATCATGCCCTTATGGAGAAGGATTTCTGGAACCCATATATCTTGTTATATTATGCTTTCTATCATCTCTTCTATTGTACCTTCTATGAGGTCATTTAACTTTCTACCAGGAAAGCAACCAGACAGTTAGTATTTATTTTAATGTACAGTTACTTTTATTAGACTGCCATGATTTTGTTTCCTTGAATATGTCAATATTTGGTTATCTGTAAAACTAGACATTCCTTTGTCAACCTCTATGACCCAGATATAATTTTATGGCAATTTTATTTTGTTTGAAATAGAAATTGTGTAATTGTTTTCATTACTACTTAGTTAACTTGCAGAATTCTGTTGCAGAATTCTGGCCAGTAACCATTAAAGACTACTGCGACTTCTGAATTCTCTAATATTTGGTTGGAAGTAGGTGGAAAAATAAGAATAGTGATATCTTCCCTTACCATGTTCTGCCATTCATTTTGCTCCTTGGATTTCCCATAGTTACATAAACAGATCTAGATGAATGTTGATAGTCTATGGGTGCCATTAATGAATGACTTTAGTCCAATATTTCATCTTATAGTCCCTCTTTATACTATTCAATAAAGCCTCTTTCATTTCAGCCACATCCTGAGCTACAAGTAAAAATCAGTTGCATGAGTTTGCATAGAACCCTTCTCCTGTCAGAGGTGATAGATCACCTATTCAACAGGATCACTGAACATGGTCTCATAATTATGACAAAAGTATAAAGCTATCCAAGTCCAAACTCTTTTGCGACATTTGAAAAGAGAATGTCCATCTTGCAACTTTCTCAATTATCAGGTCAATTATAACTTTATGCAAGAAAAATCAGTGGGAATCTTTAGGTCTTAGCTCACACTGAGCAAGGAAGGCAGTATACCTGTCCACATTCCTATTTTATGTTTCAAATAGGACTGCTAGTGATTGGCATCAAATATCAATAGCTACAGGGCCTTAGATGGAGACTGATATGGAACCCTCAATTATTTGTTGATGATTAGGACCAGGGGTGAAATGCTCCCAGTTCGGACCGGATGGCCCGATCCCAATAGCAATGGTGGCGGGTGGTTCTGAGAACCACTAGCAAAAATCCCTGCGCGCCCCCCCCCCCATGCCCAGCTGAGCCACACAATCATCAGAGGCTTTTTTTTTTACTTTTAAAAGCATTTCGGCCGAAGAGGTTGTAGAAAAAAAAATGCTTTTAAAAGCCTCTGATGATCCCAGCTGAGTTGCCTGATCTTCAGAGGCTTCTAAAAGCATTTTTTTCTGCAACCTCTTAAGGTTGTAGAAAAAATGCTTTTAAAAGTTAAAAAAAAAAGTTGGCCATGCCCACCGTCACATTACCACCACCCCATCAAGCCACGCCCACAGAACCGGTAGTAACAAATTTTAGATTTCACCCCTGATTAGGACATATCAGCTAACTCAACCACCTGTTGAGTTAACTGACATGCCCTAATAAATCAATTGGGATTGACACTGGGTACATATACTGGAGCAGGGCACTGGTGATTTAATCTACAGTTAGTGGCATTGCAAGAGAGCCTATATCATATTCTTTTGGCAAAGCCTCTCCTCTGTAACTTTGGGAGGAGTAAATGAGCAAATTTAGCAGTCACAGGCCATTGAACTTTACACATGCACAACTGTAAATCTCTTCCAGTATTCCATCCTTAGAGATTGGTTTTCCAGGCTGAACACAATTTTTGTCTGTCTACCTGTCTGTTTGCTGTCTTTATTATTGCAGACAGGAAACAAGTCATATACACAGAAATGTGTTCCTTACAGTACACAAAAATCAACTCCTTTATATAGGTGTTTACGCCAAAGTTTATGTTCTCCTGCCTTTCCTAGTCCATGGAAATTGGCCTTTATTTTGATAGTCTTAAAAGGCACCTTATCTTTATTGAGCAAATAGCGTTCTTTAACATGAGACTTCCTGGTTCTTATGTTACCAGCTTTATTTCTTACAGAAGATATGGACATTTGCTTCTGAAAAGTCCTTTTACTGTTAATATTTGGAATCTCACTCATAATGAGTAATCTAGCCAGTATTTACTAGCATTTCACTGGGAAGAAAATGATAACTTGTATGTGTATAATTCCCCCAGTACAACAGTCAAAACACCAAGGATATTTGTTAATTTTTCTCATTATTTCCCACCTTCAATGTTGGGACAGTAACTGAATGGACAGTTTGTGGCACTCATGGGCAACCAAGTGAAAGAAATGGAAACTGAATGGCAATAGAAATAAGAGGATTAGAATAACCTCTGACTCGAAATTGAATCATATCACATTCTGTCCAATATGTTGTTTTCAGTACAGAAACCCGCAATAGCACAAATGTAATTCCCCTTCCCAATGGTGAAATCTAAAATTTGTTACTACTACTACTTGCCTGATCGGCAGGCAACTCAGCTGGGATCGTCAGAGCTTGGATTGTCAGAGCTTGGCTCGTCAGAAGCATTTAAAAGAAAAAAAGCCTTTGATGATCGCGCGGCTCAGTTGGGCATGGGGGATGGGGGCAGGGATTTTTGCTACCGGTTCTCCGAACTTCCCGCCACCATCGCTACCTACTCGCCCGAGCTGTTCCAAACCGGGAGCATTTCACCCCTGCCCCTTCCCCTATCACTTTTTTCCTTCTTACTGGCTAGAAAAAATAATTTCAAAACAATTATATGCTTTCAGTTTCCAGTTTGAAAGCATACACCTTCACTTAATTGACAAAAGCCCATGTTTATGGGTTAATATTGTAGTTTTCATGCCTACAAATTTAACATGCTATTTGTAAGGCAGGCTGGTAAGATTTGTCTCTTGATAAATGGGACATACAGTAGTTCACTGCAATTAATCAAGCAATCAATCAATTGATGGAATGTCTCACCTGCCACAAAATCCCCAAAACCAACTGTGGTCAGAGTGACGACGACAAAATAAAAAGAGTCCAGGGCTGACCATTCTTCAATATATTTGAAACTGACAGCTGGAATGGTGACAAAAACAACACATCCGGCCAGGATGAAAAGAATGGTAGAGATCACACGAATCTTTGTCTGACTCACTTGTTTCTTCTGCAAAAAGAAAATGATCATCATTTGTGGGTTTCAGGGCACTGGTTTCAGAAACTGACACAAAATAAATTGCTGCCTGGCAATATATTAAAAACCATCCATTCATTAGGAATTGCAAACGGACTGTAAACATGAGAAATATGCAATACTGTACAAGTTTTAATCTCACAACTGTGTATATGAAATCACAGTATTTCCCCCACTGTCAAACTTCCTAGTAGTAAAGTTTACAATACTCCAAAGAGAAGAATGAGTGGCTGCTAAACCTTAATTTTTACAAAAACATGACAATTGCTCTTGAAGAAAAAATAGAAGCAGAAGCAGAAAAAGAATAATGGAAATGGAAGTATATTTTGTGCGTGTGTATACTTGAATCAAAGTATGACAAAATGATTAGTCATTCATGATTTCATGCTTCAGAAAAGAATGAGCTTTCATACAGTCTGCATGCATCATTTACTCTGCATTGCAGAAATGTGCACTTTAGATCCAAAAAAGGGCAGCACAATTCACCTGGATGGGACCTACAGAAAAAAAATATAGTCTGGCTCATCAAGGCATGGGGACAATATGCTTTTCTTTGCTGAAATACTTTACATCATATAAGGGCCAGTATCCCCCACAGTGCCTGAACAGAAATCCAGTTCCTACACATGAGACATAATGGCACATCTGCATCTCTGCAAAAGGTCACACAGTCTGCAAAGTTTTATGAAGCTGCTTCAAAAGTGTACTTCACAGCTACATTCATCAAACCATTTATTCAACCACACCTCTGAAATCTACACCAAATGAACAGCCAACCTCACATCAAGAAGGGGTCCATGCTCATCCCTAAAGGCACAACACCACAGCCATCCTATAGCTCCATTAACAATTGCAGGTTGATGATTTTATTATTCACCAAGGGAGTTGCATACCCTGCCCTTGAATGATTAAATAATATAATTATCCTCAACAGTATAGAAGTTTATCCTGCACAGTATAGTATTAGTATTAGCCATCAATATATTAGCATAAAACTAAGGATTTTTTTTCTTGCTCAGTGTGGGATTCGCTCTTCTTTTCTGTGCATGCAGTACTTCCAATTATAGCAGGATTGGTTTCAGATAAAGTGCATTGGGATAGAGCAACTTTAAATTAGCTTTCCCTAACTTGATGTATTCCAGATATGTTGGAAGTCCAACTCCCACTATTCACAATCAGCTGTTGCCATGCTGGCTGAGAATTCTAGCGATATAATCCCAAAATACTCGGACAATATTGGCTTAGAGAAGGCTGTTACAGAACATTGATGAAATGAAGTGTCATATTATATTGTTGTTCCCTTCCTGTCCCCTTTCACAAATACAAACATAGAAACATACATCCATGCATAGAGAAGATGCTTCAAATATGAAATATTCAATTGAGGAGATCCGAACAAGTGAAACAAGTGCAGGATCCAATCTGGGTTGGTGATTGGGACCAGAGATTTAGTCTTCTGAGCTTTCAGGTGCATGCTGGAGCTCATTCTCAGGGAATTTCTCTCTAACAGAATGAATAGTCTAAATATGAATGTAAACTCAAGGGCTGCGAGCCTGATGTGTCACATGCTGGCCCTGCCCCCGCTCGGTTTAGCGGAGAGGGGAAAAGTCCCAATACGCCACATGATGATGCCGTGGCGATGCGAGTTTGACACCCCTGGTCTAGAACATTCTGATAGAGAGAAGTTCCCTGAGAATGGACTCCAGCACAAGTCCAAAAGCTCAGAAGACCTCTGGTCCCAATCACCAACCCAAAATGGACTTCAACTCCACACTGGTTTCTGGGGAATTCTGCAAGTTGAACTCCACACATCTTCAGCTTGCCAAAGCTGGGGAACACTACTTAGACTGTACAGTTTAGGGAAAGCTAAATTGAGATTATATAGTAATAAAAGGTTTTTTGATTGATTCCTATCTTTCCTGCCTTTTCCTCTCATAAACACTTGGCTGTTCATACAAAACTGCAGATGAAGTAAATATTTTTTTCAGGGCTCATATAATTTCAGATTGGAGGTAGAGTAAAGGTAAACTGCAGTCATTTGCATGACTGAAGACTATTTCAGATAAAATCTTCCTGTACAAAAAAAATCTGCATTCAAAGAGAACGATATTAAACTAGTTTTACACCCTAGAATGCTACTGTCATTTTGAGGGTATCGAAAGAAAGAAAATCCAGAAGTTGGATGATTCCCATCTGCTGATTGAAGCACTTTAAAGAGTGAGCAGTTTTCAATTCCGCTGCAATTAATATGAACTGGGATGGCTCTAGATTAAATCATCAAACATACACAGACACACTGTTCAGGGATAACAAGTTGCACAGAATAAATTAATTCCTTTCCTGATCTAAATCTCAGCTTCTTCTGTAAAGTTATCAAACAATATCAAACAGGAGATACGAATTGAGTTAATTACAAAGAGAATCATCCCTTAGAAGTCAAGAAATATGCCAAAGAAAGAAGTAGGAAGTGACAAAGGAGATTTTTAACAGAATGTATATGTTAGATTTAATTTAAGGTTACCTGGCAGCCTATTGGGAGGATAGCCTTGGAAGGAATGTCCTCTGGCAAAACACAGAACTGCCTATGTTCTATTGCAACTCACACATTCTTTATTTTTTCCCCTAAAAGTCCCTCAGCACTATCTAGCTAAGAATTCTGTAACTTTTATAACAATGCTTTTCCTAAATGGTGAAAATACATCTATGAGACAGGTGGCATCACTGGGTCCCATTAAGCCACATTTTTCAGAAGCACAAATGCTTTGCCATTAAGATTCAGAACTAAAAGAGAAAAAAGGGGGGGGGAATAAACATCTCAGTCTTACTCGAAAGACCTTTTCAACTCGTGCAATGCCCTTCCCAAAGATGGTTCCAAGCTGGTCACCTATGCCAGCTAGCAGAAAGCCAAAAAGTGGGATCCCAAAGATGGCATACAAAATACAGAAAATTTTTCCGCCTTCTGTGCTTGGGGCAATATTTCCATAACCTGTTGAGAAAAAAGAAGTTGGTTGTGAGCTCTCTCTTCTGAAGATTGTGAGGAGGAACACCTCTCACAGTTACGACTATTGAGCAACGTATCACATATACTGTACCTGTGCATTTTGATTTTCTTGCCTAAATGTAGAACCTTACTTTTTTCACCATTGAATTTCATTTTGTTAGATAGCGCCCAATGTTCAAGTCTGTCAAGATCCTTCTGTATCTTAAACCTATCTTCTGGAGTGTGGCTATTCCTGCCAGTTGGTGTCGTCTGCAAATTTTTTTAAAAAAAATTGATTTATATGCCGCCCTTCTCCGGAGACTCAGGGCAGCTTACAATGCGTTAAGCAATAGCCTTCATACTTTTGTATATTTATACAAAGTCAGCTTATTGCCCCCACAACTGGGTCCTCAATTTACCCACCTTAGAAAGGATGGAAGGCTGAGTCGACCTTGAGCCTGGGGAGAATTGAACTCGCAGTAATTGCAGGCAGCTGGATGTTAAATGCTGCCTTAGGAGGCATTAGCCTCCTACGCCACTCAGGCTCCTTGATGAGTTCCCCATCTATCCCTTGTCCAAATCATATAATCTAACTAAAAGAGATGCCAACTTCTGGCTGAGGAATTTGGAGACTTTAAATACACCTATGTTAAAAATGCCAATTTTGAAAAACACTGCTATAACCCTGTGACCAATTAAAAAAACAGAAAAAAAATGCATTGCTATCTATTTCTGTGTGACTTCATAATGCATTGCTGTTCATTTCTATGACTTCAGAACACACTGCTCAGGCCATTGTTGTTGTTTTAAGTAAAACCTCAACTATCTAAAACTAACTTAATCCTGTCTTAGGACACAGTATCATGGAAATTCAAGCCTCGGCTTGTCATGTGATACTACAGTAGAAGCCAAGATTAAACATGGGATGAGGCCTGTATATTAACTGCTTCATATTCCCCGTCTTATTCAGGCCAGGAATTTGACTATTACAATTATAAGTGTACATGCTTTAATTAATTATTTGTTTTGCCAACAATTTAAGTGAAATATATTATGAGCATGATATTAATCCTTGTACTTGCTTTTATTTCATTTTCGTATATTTTCAGTTTATCTTTACTGATAAGCTTTTAAACACATTTAAGATGCACAATGTAGCTATACGCTCCAGAAGACTAAATGAAGGGAGAAAGGGGGATTATCGACTGTGTCCCTGCTGACAAAATAAAGTAGATTGGGATTTGTATGCCTGTGTCTATGGTTAATGAGCTATATGGCAAAATTTCTAGCACTTCATAATGATATACTTACAACAATGGATTCATAAATGTTTAATATCACTTGGAACTTCAACAGAAGATGGAACTTAGCTTGCTATAAAGTAATAGTAATGGCTGGTAGCTTTTTAAAAATTCACATTCAATAAACAAAACTAAAACAAAATATTCACAGCAAATTGTGAACAGGCTAAACAGGAGGTACAAGTTGAGCTGTTAAATATGAGACAATACATATCTTTACATTCAAGATTTGGATTTAATGTTTGGTTGCGTTCTTTAAAAACTTTAAGCTGTAATCAATATTTTATAACTTAAAATACATACTGCAATCTGTAAAGAATCCCCTAGCCAGCTATTATTAAAGATTGGTTGCCTATGTTTGGTTTGGAAATATAAGCACTAAACATGCAAATGCTGTAAAAATATCCAGAAATTATTTTGCAGTTATAACATCCATCATTATTCTCTAGTAGCATTTGAGGGAGGCGGGGGGAGAGTAACAGAGATGTATATAAAAATTAGAATTGCTGTATTTGGGTTTCAAAAATCTAGATGACCAAGTAGCTCAGGGGTCTCCAACCTTGGTAACTTTAAGCCTGGAGGACTTCAACTGCCAGAATGCCCCAGCCAGCTCATCAAAGGAAGACCCAAATTTGCAACCAGGACAAACAGGACTGCTGCACGGATAATTCAGTAAGCTTTGCTTCAATATGGGTTGAAGTCATTTATTTCTAAATTCCTCTATAATTATAATATGTGAATAACTTTGCTGCTACCCTGGGTGCAGCTGGTTGATCACTGTAGGGAACCAGATGTTCAGCTTGATAGACCTTTGCTCCAACCCAGCTGAGTGCTCCTTACATTTATTTGCTTAGTAAGCCTGCAGCTCCAGATCTGGAATGTTTATTCATCATTAAATCTGTCAGTTGGGAGAATGCCTCTCCTGCATTTGAAACGCAGTCCCCATTCACTGGTAGATCTGCCTTTGCTCTTGTTGTCAACTCACTTGAAATAGGGGTGTGCCTGCATGCATCCTTTTTTCAGAGACATTTTTTTCCCACCACTTAAGTATAGCTATTCTAAAATTGCAAAAATCTGCCAGTGAACAAGGTTCTAATTCAACTGGTGAGGAACACCCAAAAAAAAAACTAAAAAAAGGCTAAACAGCATCATGCAACAACAGCCCTTCTGTATCTCAAATGAACCACAGTTTGGTTCTAATTCCAGAACAACCACTTGCTAGTCTTAAATAGTAGGACTGAATTATAAAAAGCTATTTCACCAGAAAATACTAGCATTTTTTTCCAGTTTGATAAACAGAGCAAGCAGAAGTCAGCTTTGGCTTTGTAAAAAAAAAAAATGCTGCTTTCTATTATTTCCAAAGGTAAACTAGGCAATATGGCATGTATGTGTGTGTGTTAAGTGTGTACTTATGCACAAAAGAGAATGAAGGCTTGCAGTAACCTCTGTTGACTGTTCTGATTCCATTTGAAGAAATACAGCAAAGGTAACAACTAAGGCAGCTGACAGTCAAATAAACCTACTTTAAATCTTTTTGTTTTCATTGTCAGCTGAGTCACTCCCATTATTCTTTCAAGACATGTATTGTGTTATGCCATGTCCTTGGGAATCTCCTTACTTTGCCCTCTTTGGCTACTGTCTATTATTCAATGTTGATTGATACATCTGTTAAAATATTCTATAGTTTTCTTCCTGATTAATTCATTTTTTTGGGGGGGTGCCTTTTATTGATTGATTTAGACTCTATGGTTGGGCTCCATACTTCAGACCTCTGAAAGTAGTAGTTGATAGGCTATATACAGTAAAGCCCATTTTCCCCGTATCTGATCATACCAAGACAGAATCATTCAGAAATATAAATTATAAATATGCATAAATAGATACCTATAGTAGTAATGACAGTTCCTGCAAAGAAAAAGGCACTTCCAAGGTCCCAGTGGCTGCTGCTATTAGAAGAATCTCCAACGGGGTTGACTCCTGCACTGGTAGCATTCATAACCCGCTACAAAAAAAGAAAAGAAGCAAATTGAGAGCAGAATATATTGTAACTGAACAAAATATCTTGTCTTCCAAATGCAAGATTGATGGTGCTTGCTGCCAATTCTTTTCTCTAAAGTTCCAGGCAATAAAAAAATTATCCATTGTCTACTGCTTGGCCTCTCTGATACAAGATGTCCCACACAATTTCTACATGCAAAGCCATATTCCTCTATCACTGAGTCAAAGCTTCTCCCAGAGTCTATTGGAGTTGTATAGCTGTAACTCTTTTAAGTATAAAATAAAATAGATTCCTTCAAACACCATGGGTTCCCAGTAATACACTAATTTACATGGACACATCTCAAGAAGATGCAAGATGCTGCATTTTGCAAGATACAGAAGCCAAAGAAAAGAACTTACCTGTGTAAGTATTTAAGATGCATACTGTCTTGTGTATCTCCTTATGTCAACTTTTCTATTTAAACCTTCTCTTATATGGTGACCTTCACCATTGTTAAGATTATAAACTCTAATATACTTCCATGCGGGAAGAAATTTTTGGAATCTGTAATTTGTAAATCACTTCTAACAAAGTGGGCAAAACCATGGCAAATTCTGTATCTTTTGAAACATTCATTCCCCACAATACATCACACATTACTTTTTTACCAGCATTTGCACCATGATACAAAAATGAATTCTGCTCTAACGTTTCAGCTTTTATATGCAACACAGAATTATTTGCTCCATTTTCTCTCTCAGCTACTTTGATACTTTGATTTTCACTCCTCAGTTTGTCATGTGATCTAACATTTACTGCAAATAGTTCAATCTTGGTATACAACACAGCTCCATGAAAATGCATGTGCATTTATGTCCTCAATCAACACACATCTACAATCGCTACAAGCATCTTATATTATATAAAAGCATAAGATATCATACTTTTATCTATAACTACAATAAAGAAAATATCACATATTCTTATCTTACTCTCTGTTCAGCATTTCCAACACATTTAATTTAATTATCACACTTCCTTTCTACCATATAACATTCTTATTACATTCAACATAATCATGCAAAACATTCCATAATTCAAAACTCTTTGCTTCCTTATCTATTTTTCTAAATTGACAAGCTTACAATAAACTTTTTCCCTCATATTCATACATTACTCAGTAACCTGAAGAACAGAAATCTGGTTTGCACACTCTTTGCATAGCACAAAGTGTTGCACTTTTCAAATTTTGCTCACTGCTACTTCTCATCCCTTGCAAGCATAATTCTGCCAACTTTCCCATGATACATAACAAATCAATATAATTTTGCATTCATTCTTGCTTCCTTCTCATGTATATAGGAAGACAATCCAGATACTCTAGAGACTACCTTGCAAGTCAACATATTGTTGACTGCTTCCCAACTACAAGTATATGTAATATTATAAGGTGTACTCAGAATTCAAGAAACAGGAATCTGGTATTCCCAAGAGATTTATTTTCCCATTTGAATGTAGAAATGCAACAGATTAATAAGTCTTTAATCACATGCATGCCAGTTATATATTCTCTTTGAGTGCTAATTTGAATGAGTGTCCATATTGTCAAAATGGAGGATGAAACATGGAAATTCACCTCTTTTTTAAATGACTAGCATGCATTGCACGCACAAAACAAGACAGGGCTTCACTCACAAACACTTGTGCCCCCCCCCTTACCAATTTTGACATTGTTGGCCTCCTCTCTGGATGTCCCTGCTATCCAGGCTTTTCTCCCTTGGGCCTCTGATTTCTAAGCTATTTTCTTCTGCATAGTCCTCAGTAATCTAGAAAACTCAAATTCTCCAAAAGCTTTTTTTTTGTCCCAAGCAAAGGAAACAATGCATGAAGAAGACAACGTATGCAGAAAAAAAACCTTCCTTTGTGGCCAATTAATTGCCCACATTATTTCTGTTGGTGTGAAAACAAGTAAACAAGTGGTGATCTGTTAAAGCTGTGCACAATTTAATGGCATTCTGCATTTAGTTATCATCAAGTGACATTTATGAGACTACTTGGCTGGTATAAAAATTTGCTTCACAAATCCGTAACAGAAAATGCTGCCAACAGAAGTTCTTTCATTGTCTTCAAATTTAGTTCCACGTGCACTATATTTCATTAATCTAGACAAGAGTTTATGATTGGTATTGAAATTTGTAAAAAAAAAAATGAATCAAGAACTATACTATTCCTAATTATCTTTCAAAAGGTTATGTCACAGACATTTCGGGTTGCACCTCAACTTTCCTACCCACATTAGCAATGCAATTTATTTTTTATCTTGTTTTTCTTTTGGCCAGGAGCTGACATAAAGCTCTTCTCCCAGGTCAAGAACTCTGCGCTTTTACCTTTTCTTGCCAAATGTTTTTTATATTCGTTTCATGAATGGATTCTCATGCATGAAATGAACAAGGGGTCCATGTAGCAATTGTGGTGCCATGTTAAAATGAAATGGCAATGGCACACAACTAACTATAACAGTTAACAGAGTTGGAAGGGATCTAGGAGGTCATCTAGTCCAACCCCCTGCTCACGCAGGAGACCTATACTAGGGATTCGAACCGCCAAACTGCCGATCTTTCTGATCGACAAGCTCAGCATCTTAGCCACTGAGCCACCTAGCCAGGCTGAGTGAGACAGGCTGAGACATAAAGTGACCCACTCAGCAAGGATAAAATAATCCCACCAGAAAAGAGAGCACATTGGTGGTTTTATTAAAGGCTTCTAATAAGTGCATGTGTTGGGCACGATATTAGCAACAGACGATCAAAACTCCAAGTTGACTGTAGGAAGTAAATGAACTAAGAGAATCAAAAGATTTGTCCGGGAAAAAGTAGGCCCTTGGAAAAATGATTTATCTACATACTCTGCTAATGTTTCAGTAGCTATTGTTCCAGGTTACTGAAAGAAACTGTCACTGCAGCACATCAAAACTGAAAATAATACCAAAATGTATGTTTATCTAGGAAACATTTGCATTTATATAAAGTGAAGTACTGAAGTTTTCAGATACTGGAGGGAAACACAAGATTGTCCTATGTAGAATCTTCTCACTTTTATCTCAAGAAAAGATTGGACTGCCATTTGTCAGAAATGGTGCAGCGTCTCCTGCCTGGGCAGGGGGTTGGATTAGATGACCTACAAGGTCCCTTCCAACCAGGGGTGGGTTCTAATTACCTTTACTACCGGTTCGCAACGGGATTGCGCGCGTGCGCACATGCAGAAGCTTCTGCGCATGCACAGATCGCTTCTGATGATGTCAGGGTCAGTGGGTGGAGCCTCCCGCCAGTTTTACTACTGATTCTATAGAACCGGTCCGAACTGGAGGCAACCCACCATTGCTTCCAACTCTATTAATCTGTTAAGATCTGTTAAGAATACACAAACTGTGGCATACGTAGCCACACCTCTGCCCAGTTAGAGTATGCATCAACCACTACCAAAAAGGTTTGCCCCTGGACCGGGCCAGCCAGGTAAATATGGATTCGGGACCATGGGTTTCTGGGGGTCTCCCATTCTGTAGGGATGGCTGTGGGGGGTGCTGGCCGGGACTGCTGACAGCTCTGGCAACCCTCTACCCACTTTGTGACAGCCTGATCTAACTTAGGCCACCACACATAGCCAAAGCCTTCATCCTGACTATGCCAGGATGCCCTTCATGCGAAGATTTTAATATGGGGGTGCGTAAGTTAGGGGGGACCACTATTCTGTTGCCCCACAATAAGCAACCCTTCAAGATGGACAGCTCATGCTGTCTCGCTCTGTATGGCAGGAATTCCTCTGGCAGATGTCCCTGTGGCCACCCCCTGCACACCCAGTCAAGAACCTGCGCTATGGTGTAGTCTCGTTTAGAATATTTGGCAATGTCGGCCGTGGTGACCAAGGTAGGAAATTCGTCCATCAAGAACACAGTTGAGGCAGGAGCCAGGTCTTCCACAGCTAAAGGAAGAGGGCATCGGCTAAGGCCGTCCACGTTGGGGAGCTCTCTGCCAGGCCGATAGACCAGCTGATAATTGTAAGCTGCAAGGAAGATGGACCATCGAGATAGACGAGGGGACATGATCTGGTGTGTTTGCTTGTTACCAGCTAACAACCCCAGCAGGGGCTGGTGGTCAGTTATCAATTGGAAAAAAAGGCCATACACATAGTCGTGAAACCACTTGACAGCAGCAACAGCCGCCAGGGCCTCTTTGTCCAATTGACTATAATTTCTCTCGGCCGAGGATAAGGTCCGAGAAAAATAAGCAATTGGAGCCTCGGTTCCATTTGGCAGTAGGTGGCTCAGGACAGCCCCTATGCCATATGGAGAGGCATCACAAGCCAAAGTTAAGGGGATACTGTCGCTGTATTGGACCAGTACTACATCTGAGGTAAGGAGATCTTTGACAGCAGTGAAAGCCGAGGCCTGGGCCCTGCCCCATACCCAGGGAGCCTTACAGTCTAATAGCCTGTGAAGAGGTTCCGCCACAGATGCCTTATGTGGCAGGAACACACTGTAAAAATTGAGTAAGCCTAGAAAAGCCTGCAATTCAGCTTTGCACATCGGAGTAGGGGCTTTTTTAATGGCCTCCATCTTTGATGGGGTAGGGTGCAGACCTTTAGCATCTATCAGAAACCCTAAGAACTCAACCCTAGGAACCCCAATTGTACACTTAGATTTTTTGAGCTTAAGGCCCGTTTGCTGAAACCGGGTGAGAACTTGTCGTAAGCGGCTAATAAGGGCAACTTGGCTGGTAGCCGAGATTAAAATGTCATCGAAGTAAGGGATGACTCCCGGTATTCCATGTAATAGCTGTTCCATAAGACCCTGAAACAACTCAGGAGCCACACTGATTCCAAATTGTAAGCGACGGCACTTAAAGGCACCTCTGTGTGTGACAATAGTCTGGGCAGCAGCTGTGGCATCATCCACAGGGAGCTGCTGATATGCCTGTGCCATATCCATCTTGGCAAAAATAGACCCCTGACCCAAAGAGTGGAGG